AGTTAAACTCCTCGGCTGGCTGGCGGGACTAGGACAAAAATTGAGTGAGACCGTAAACTAACCACCCTTATAACGGGAGGAATTTTAATCCTAACCACAGTTCGAGTAGATCTGAGATAGAAGAGTATTAGCCACCCGTTGAACTAAACGCATCCGCATTGTTGACAACGGAATATAAACCTTAAAACGCGGACGCATCCATTGTAACATACGCTTTGGTGACTACATTTAGGACTATTGTCAATCCAGCAAAAAAGCACGGCAGTTAATTCATAATCAAACTCAATGATTACACATGAGCATAAACTTCTTATAGGTCCAACGGTTTCCTTTATTTGGAAATGCTGCAAAATATTTCACATGATTATTATAACTGCCGTTAGTCCCTTCTCCAAAAGTAAGGGTTTCCGGTCACCTAGGACCTCTATTGACACTTGGTCCCGATGAAGTGCACTGTATGATAACAGGGTCAACAAAACGGATGCACAGTGCAAACCTTGAGAAGCCTTACGACAACTATAATCCTACAACATAATAATAACATAAAAATAATTCTATCAACATAAAAAGAGAAACGCATATTTGTGTCTCATCACCTCTCGATAGGATCGTAAGAAAAGCTCAAACAGTGGTCCCTTTAACTCACGTCATTCCCCTAGTTCGTAAAGATGTACCGACACGGAAACTTTTGGGAGTTTCCACTAGTTTGTAACTAGACAGCAACTACTTGTTGTGGAAATGTACGGTGAATATTAATTATTCAGAAGTGCGAGTTGTCCAATCAGAGTTAGCACGGATTAGCTCTAACTGAAATATGGTAGCGCAATGTTGATCCAGAACGAACCTGGTGTAAACCGGTAATCCTCGTCACCCTAACTCTGACCCAGGGTCTTTGTCATTATACTTCCTTTATTATTTGTTATTGGGCACCAATCAGGTACTCATGCTAATAGTAAAAGTTTCAAAATCATTCAGAAACCAGTTTGTTTTCTCTGTAAATTAGTTTTGATAAACTGTTTGAGTTTTAATTTTTTGTTCATACGTGGATGGGACAATCTTACAAGCTTAATGAAAAATTGCGTCTATACGACGAAATCCATTCAATTGTTTTTCTTGCGAGGTTGACTGTTTGCATGATTATGGTTTAATAAAGTAATCACAGAAGTAGCTTGTTTCATATACCATGCGGATGACTTATTTGCGGAATAGGCAGTTCATGTACCCATGAGATTTCTCACAATCGTTTGCCATTAATGGTCGTAACTTTTTACATGTTAACTTGTACATCGCGCGAAAATATCCCCAGACAAATCGCTGAAAGATAGTTTGAAAACGAGGTTGAAAAAGACATTTTATCTACTGGACTGTCAGAGGCGAAGTTCATCAGAGTGCCATGAAAGAACCAAACAGTTTTTTCGGTATATCAACAAAGAATGTTGATTTCTTAGATAGTTTAAAGAAACTATTTTAAATTGAACCTAAAATTGAATTCACTTTCACAATTTGGGATTATATAATATGTGATATTCCACAGCCATCTACGCTTGAAGAAAAAGAAATACACACGACTTCCCGCTTGAACTCGACAAGTAATCCAAAGATCCAAATTGTTCACTGAACACGGAATTCCGACTTCTCAGTGACGTTACACGAATGTTAGACAAAGTGGTCAGCTACTTTCAACGATCTCTCCACAGTTTAACCCGGTGCTGCTACCACAATCTGACCACACTCCAAACAATCGAAGAGGCACATCAGTGGAAATGTACCTTGGATTATATAACAACCCCGAACAATGAGTAACATTGAGAAAATGTTAATCACTGGACATAATATTTGACGCTTTCTCTCACACATGAAATACAAATTCACTTTGGTGCTGTTCGAAACTGGCCAGGGCTGCAACCCATAGTTTGCAGTAAACATCTTCCCTAATGAGCTAGCTATCAGTTGATTTCCCCATGCCGAACATTTTCATTGCTTCGTGGCCAACCCTCAGCAGAACTTACATTCCTACTGTTCGATAAAAAATCTCTTGGGATCAATCGCAATTTTTCACTTGGGAGATGTTCTGTGTTAATGCATGGGCTACGTTGATAGATGAGTTTAAGTTGAACAGAGATTCACAGATTAGTCAAAATTTAAATAAGCACAGGCCGAGACATTGCCCTGCACTCGGCCTCGAAGGTGAGTGGCTTTGTACTTGGCCTCTTCTTCGCATCGAGTACCATTTATCCGCTTAGACAATGTTTGAAACTTTCGTGGACGACGGAAGGATACTTGGTAAATTGTACCAATTACTATATCCGGTTTTTTTATTAAACGCCTTAAATTTACTGAAAGGGTTTCACAGGTTGTAAAACAAGAGAAAGCCAATGTCCCACTGTACATGAAACGATGTTTTGAGACGTTATAGAAGAGAACACAGGTCATTTCAATCCATTTCATGGTAGTCTATCCGATCGTGTTGTTGCATACTTGCCGGTAGGCTCTTCTGACGTCTCGTGGCTTAGGGTAAAAATCGCTTGTTATTTTCAAGAACTCGAACGATGATGATGATGGTGGTGGTTTATAACTGTTTAACAAGCTAAACCAAAAAAACGAGTGGGAAACTTTCACGTGCTAAAGTTGTCTAATGCACATAGACTGCGAGGCAGATAAATTGTTGAGAAAACATAGTTATGAATTAAGAAGGCATAACTAAAAGGTTTCAGGTTGAAGCGAATCCGTTTTACGTTTGGATTATATGTAATACAGGCATTTATCGATCACTGGTGATTGAAAGGCTACATTTCAAAAGACAGGATTTAGCTCAAGGGGATTCAAGCTGTGTCAATGCAAAGTTGATCTGATAAAGATTAAATCCATCCATGTTTATATTATGAAATTTCAACAACTTTCATTCCATAACATGTTTTACTTCCAGTAGTACAACTTTTTAGAGTTGGAGACCTAATATGAAAACACTTTACATTAATAGTTTATAAAAATTGTTTCTCTCAGTAACCACCAGCTGTAGAGCTTTTGAGTAGATCGGGAACATGTTTCAAGTTAATCTTACCGCAGCCCTCTTGTTTTGAACCCCACATAGGGGTCTTCCATTCCAATAATAGTATTCACTTGAGCAAACAAATTTTGTTATGGTAGATGCGATTATGTAGAATACTTTCCCCATTTAAAATCCTAAAGTAACAACATTGAGAATAACCCTCAGGTGGGTTCGAGGACAATGCAGAAAAGAACAATGTTATACACATTGGCATTGAAGTCCCTACCCGAAGCTTCGCGGTTCGAGTCCTGAGGGGGACACAAAAAATAGGCATTGGTGACGAATCCCAAACAGGACGAAACAGCTGTCCAGTGCTCTTTTTCGGTCATCACAAACATTTCCATTGGCATATACTCTTTCTCGATTCATCCAGGTGCTCCTCCCATGACCCGTCCATGGTCCTACGGAATACCAAAGTTAGTCATTCACTTTCTTCTGTTTGCAAAATCAGAAATTTCAATCACTCTCTTTCAATAGAACGTCCTCTTAGTATACCCGAAGCCTCCAAATAACAAATTGTTTGTTATCAGATCTGCATTGGTCTAATAATTATGCATAATGCTCATCTTAGTCCATACATCGGGACTGGCTTTTATCAAGTGCTTACAATAGTGATAAGGGTCAATGAGGCACAGATAGTAAACAACCATTACCAATAGGGCTTCGAGCCAGACAATTCTGGGCCATCAACTATAAGTATACTCTTCGAATCTTGCGCTCCGCCGTTTTAGAAAACTATATCATTGCCGACTGGCTAAACATGTATTCGATCCAACTAATGTGTACTTATATTCTCAGCTAACCCGTTAAGCGATTCAGTCAAACACCCAGTGAATCAAAGAGAGATAGGGGAGCGTTACATTACTACTACAAAAGAAGCATATGTGCTTCATCTAAATATACTATATCTGTGCCAAAAGCTAATCTCTTCACATTGCTCATGTTGTCACAGCCCAACTCCTATTAACTAACAGCCATTGCTTGATATGGATACATCTTCTTTACTGGGCAACAAGTTCCCCATAGCCAACCGCAATTGTTATTACCATAAACGAGCAAAATTTAATGGCCTATTTGTTTACATCTATATTTTATCCGAAATTGTCCCGCAATGAAAATTGTACTGATTCGGAAAAACCGCCAATCACCCCACCCTCGCCCACAAAGATGCCCCATCCTTTGTTTTATCGATTGATGAACTACCAAAGAGTAAATTGTTGTTCGTCAAAATCGCTGAAGATGACAATGTCAGAATGCAGTTTTAATGCAATGGGGTGTTATATGTCTAATGGCCAGAAAGCGGGCACTAAACATGTTGTTGAAACTCAATAGCGGTGCGTAACATTATTGTGTACCTGCTGTTACTCGAAACGAGGACCTTCGGATTGGAAGTCAAAAGTTTTGTTCCCGAATAGTAAAACCTATGCCCGATTCTTCAAGCGCATTCTGACAGGCAACGAGAATTCCATTTCGCCTGTTCGCCGAGCTTGTCTGTTGGCAAAAGTTTCATCACCGAGTTGACATCGTCAGTACTTGTGAAGTGGCACAAGCACTGACGATATCAACTCGAGTGGAGACGAAACGTTTGCAAACAAATTACCAAGCTCGGTGAACAGGCAAAATGGAATTCAGTTTGCCAGAGCTATAAGAACCGATGTTCAGTACTTTGGGAAAAGAATATTTTTCCTTAAATGATCATGGTAAATGATAGAAATCAGTGCCTTTACAGCCCAAAATATAGATGCTTTCGTTTGTGAATTCGCAAGAACAATTGAAGAAAACGTCTGTTACCAATAAAATACTTTCCGTGCCGATGGATATCTCATTCAAAACTTTTCGGTAAGATCCTTGGATTTAAGCAATTTTATTGTTCTGTGTTATTTTAAACCTATTATTGAAATGTGAACGAATGGCTGTTTTCACTTGATACATAATTTTGCGTCTAACTCACCCGTATTCGCAGCACCACATCACCCAAATCCTTCGATTGCCAATCGTTTGTTGACGGGGAGTTTCCGGGAGCGGTCAGATCACGTTCAGGAACCAACTTCTTTCCGTCTGTCGGACCACTGATTGCATTTTTGTTCACCGGAACCTTTTGATGCCTGGAATTTTTATGAGCACGATCAGAACGGTGTAAGCGCGATGAGTTCTTTTGAGATTTACTGCATACACAACAAGTTAAAACTGAACTCCTTGACTGAGCACTCCCATTGGACCGTGTCCGATACTCTCCGTTGGACACACGTCTCATTCGTCGGGAATAGAGTGAGTTAGAATCGCTTTTGGGCAAACGATAAGAATTGGCATGATGCATCACGTGTATCGGGTGTGTTTGTGTGTTACCGTGTGTATCGAACTCGCTCGATATGAATGTATGAGGTGCAAACTGTTTTTTACACTTCCCCTTACGATTGGTTCACTAGTACGCAATGCTGTTACGGTTGGCCGGACAACACATGCACAACCAGATGGTATAGTAGAAGCGCGCTTTATGTGCAAGCGGTTGTCGTGAAATGCGCAAACTCAATAACAAATTGTGATGCGCGCGAGTGAGTCGGCGTTTGAGCAAGACATTCAACACATGCGCGCATACACACACATAAACAGGACACACCGTTGAAAAAGTGATTAGATAACAGTATAATGTATGGGACGTGAGTGGTTCTCTGTGTGTAGTTTGGTTGTAGTGTTTCTCCGTCTGTGTGACTAGACATCGCTGTTTATATTGATCCGTCAATCGAGGATTACATACTCAGTTGGCACCCAGGTGGTTGCGTCGGTTGGATTAGGTCATCCTAGTATGTGAATGTGTTAGTGAAGTTAGAGTACCACCCACGTACCACCCCGAATTCCCCCCCGCCCAATTTGAATAAAGAATGCACGAATGATGCGATGCCCGTTTCATGATAGGTGGTATATACATACTTATTTCTCATGGTTGTATCTGTGTTTTGTGTGGTTCCGGGGGCCTGGGGAGGGAAGATGTTCCGGCATACCATTAAAACAATTCGGCGTAATCGTATTTGATGCTACCGACGCTGTCAAACACGTAGGATGCAAGCAATCAAATACCTATAGGTGTGCCATGATAGAAAAGATCACCGTGAGAATAAAATTGGTTCACGTTGGCAATAACTGACAAAATATGTCACCACCGATCTTGAAGTGTCGTGTAATCGTAAGGTTATCTGATTCAAGTTGTATCATGTTCGATTGAGCAATAATTCATACGGTAGCAGTGAAAAGCGGTGGATATTGATCTTAACCCAAAGGCCCATTCACCTGGCAGCATCCAGGTGCTACTACACTTGCGTAGGACCAAATCACAACACCAGAGAAGAGGCTTCAAAAATTTATGCCAGTTCAAAAGATCACATTTTTGGGCACAGTTATTTATTGCAGCTTATTTCTGCTTGAAACGCTGCGTCCTCATTTGAGATGCTTATGTTCCTATATATTCCGGTTTTCTTCTACCGCAATTTACCCTGCTAGCACAGCATACGGGTCAGTCCGGACCCCGGATTTCACGTATGGGTAAGTTTTTCAGTAATTTGATGTTTTACAAACCGCTTCTTGATCGTTCAGCAATAAAAAAATGATTGAAATCTCGCTTATTAGACTAGGCTAGTCATGGCAAAGTTCCTTGGGTTAGTTTGATAAACGGACTGCAAGATGCATGTATTTACGCTCGATGATTCTCGCATATGGGTGATTTCGCTGCTCAGGTACTGACTGGTGCCTCGTTGGAACGAAACTCGGCCTCCATGATCGGTTGTTGTGTACGCGTTGTTGGCGGACATCTCACAGGAATCGCATTCAATACGATTCATGATCTCCAATATTTCAGTTACTAAAAAAGAACAACAGCTTTCCGTTTGGAACGATCAGTTCAGTTTAGAGTGTGCATCGTACGCAGCTCTAGACAGTTTCGAATCTCTCGTAACTTCGGAAGTGTCACACATAGTAGTTGATTTCACCAGTCCATGCACAATCTTCAACTACAAGATCCCGTTGTTCGAAGGTACTTTGTGTACTGAGTACACCCGGATTTGGTGGTCTATGCATTCCTTGAAACGGCGCTTTGAGACGACAACAACAGTGTCAATCTAAGAGGTGATCAACTGATGCAATGATCATAGTCATAGGAGAAAGACCACTCCAAGTTGATCTTTCAGTTATTCCACAAAAGAAGTGAGATTCTATTATGCATTTTGCATTAACTGCTCCCCCCCCCCCAGAACTCGGTTTTAGACGAATTGGTGATCGATGGAAGCGCACATGAAAGTACAAAGAGAAGTACTGATATGTTGGGAAAATGTGTTCAGGTTTCACTATTTCTGTGATTCAGCTAAGGTTCGAATACAACAGTGCAGCCATCCGTGACCAACGTAACCAATTTATCATCGTACTAGAGTGCTGAGTACATTGGCTTAACCAAAAGACTAGAAAAATGTGTTCTTTCAATCGGAAATTTGCGATCATGACTCTTTATTGAGACACCGGTGATAGCAGCATGTTTCAGCCCCCCACTACTTAATTCTCGTCTCGGGCAACAAATTACCGTATCATCAATATCCCAAGTTGAACTTAGTATGACTCGACAACCTTGTGTTCCCTCAGTTTCTCTTTAACCAAAGCACCCACGCTAATCTTTTCTAGGCGGATTGATCCTGAAAAAGGTGTCCATGGGAATGCAAAATACTTTTAACCGTAATCCGAGTGTTTTCGATGTCGAAGCGCTGTCCCTAGCTCATTGCGTGAGCCGTGCGAGTCAGTCACGCCTCAAGTTTGTTGAGCGATAAGCAGTAAGGCAACACTGAACCATATTGAATTTTTTGCACACGGTAGTTAAAAATTGAATTTAGGTGCTCCACATTTGACGAAACATAAGTACCTCACGTGGAGTAGGGCTTTCGAAGCTCAACACGCGTTGTTTCTAAATTTTTGACCCACCCACATCGGCATAACTTGAATAAGAATAAACGCGGAATTCAACTAAGGATCTCTGATCAAGGCGCGAGGCAGCTTTGATGCGCTGCTTCTTATCAGGTAAATCTAAATTATGTAGACCATTACATTTGGAGATGTGAGCGTGCTCCGCGCACAGAAACTGTTGCAATCTGCACCAATCCCACAATCCAGGAAGATGAAACCATTACCATCAATAGAAGATTTTCCTGACTGGTGGTTGAGCTGCATGGGTTAGAAGTTACGTCAGTACTAAAGTAGTTCATGTACTGCCGGGATTAACCTGTGCAAGAGCAGCAGTCGTCCAGCCTACGACTGGGGCTGTGTCGTGGATCAATGAGCCTTCTTTTGCGGATGGAAAGTTTGAGTCGATAATTCTCAAAGGAATTAAGGCAACGAAATATTGCATCGAATTCTTAAAATAGTTTCTTCTCCCTGCGTATCCCGAAAGTCGACTGGAAACCAGTGTGTTCCAACACGGAAATAGGTTTACAAATACACTTCATTCCATACGAGTGTTAGTGCTTCTTCCAACGCTCAAGGTAACGGTCAGTCAACAGCCTGTATTCAAACGAAAAAGGTCCGAAGTCAATTATGTAGGTTGGTTTACGTACACGGAAATGCATTCCAGACGTTTGCGAAATAAAGATAGTTACCTATGAAGGAACAAGAAAATTTCGAAATTCAGACGATCGGAAACCTGATTCATTCCGGAACACTGGAGTTTGGCGTGTAAAGAATCCACCTGAATATTCTCATCATTTGCAGAATTTCGTGCACTATATCAGTTGAGAATCTGTGTTTCACGTGTGCATCCTAAGCTTCAGTTTCGATTGTCCCGATTTGTTTATACGCCATCTGATTAAAAGGACAAAGCACCGCAATCGGTGAGAATAGACTACAGAATGATAGAAAATCCTGTGCACCCCATACCTTTGAACTCAACTAGACAGATAAACATGGAGTGCTGATTTTCCAGCTACACACCTGTTTGAGCTTCAAAGAAGATCCAGTGGTTTTGTAACAGTGCAAATTTTGGGCACAATGCCACCAGTTTGGATTCATTTTGAGTCACGTGCATGTCTCACTAAGTCATTTGGTTCATGGTTGTTTGTATTTCCCCTATCCCCAGGTTGCTTAAAAATCTCATTTTCATGGATAAATTTTGGGCCACAGTGTCTCCTACCTATGCATTGAGAGCGTCTACGGTAAACTGTGTTTACGAGGTGCTTCAGTACCTCAAAGAAGGTGAATGTGGGTCTTTGCGGACGACACTATTTGCAACACAATCTTGGATTGGGTTACCCAGAATCAATCTTCTAGCGAACTAGTGACACTGATGGATTGCGTTCTGACGGTGGGCTGTATTTTGTAAGATTGCAACTAAGCTGGACAACATTCAAACAATGGAGATTTACAACATGGGGTCCCGGGTTCATCAGTTATTAATCGACTGGAAATACACGGGGGGGGGGGNGGAGGTGATTTCGACGAACAATGTGCACACAGGCAGGTGAATGCCTTTTACACAGGTAGATCAGCCATCTGATAACGCGTGCATATACCCATTGTCATGTGTGCACCCAGGACTAGCTGAATCAGATGAATCAATATTCTAAACACGCCTGCAGATGTTCTTTCATCAAACTCCGTTCTCTATGCGATAGCCGAGGGAGATAATTTGATAATGAGACACATCACGAAAGCTGCACCCCAAAATATGCAGTTTGACAACGTGAACGTCAATTCATTTCTTTTACGCACAAGTCCTCATGTTACTGTTATCCATGATTGTAGTGGCAAGCAATTGTTAATTATCGAACAAAAGCATCTGGTTTTATCTTGGCTATTGCTTCAAGTCAACAGCGCGTCGAAAATTTATGCTTATCGGTTTGCAGTCAGCTTAGTTGTCTTAAACAGATAGTACGATTTTACTATTGCAAATCTAGAGTGTTGGAGCAACAGGACGCGAGTCAGAAGTACGCCTCATTTTAGCATAGAAAGAGTGTTGGAAAACAAGTATTCATTCCGAGGTTAGGGGAAACGTGCGATGAATTGACAAACGAGGTGCGCTGAAAGGATGCGATCGAAATTGACCTAGTAGCTTTCCAATTCAGAGTGATAATTTCCCAAACTAAATTTGAAATGATAGAGATCTGTTCATGGAAAGCATTGTTTGTTTAAAAGACAGGTGAAGATCTGAACTAACTCATGGGTTACAGTGATGCATCTCTCCATAACAGACCGGAAACGTAAGCAGTTCGGTCTCTGGAAACCAATTTTGTGTTACGTAAAACAAACATTTGTCAACTTTCTGTTATATTACTCTTATGTTCCTACAGTAAACACACAGTATCTCAAACCTTGCACTAGTGTAGTTAAAAAGCATCTACCCATATAACATTACGCACAGCTGCCGGGTTTACATGAATTCCTGAATGAATTCAATACGAAATAATTATTCAAAAATCAAATATAAACTAACTTTATTGAGATGACCCGCGAACGAAGTAGCAGTTAGGTCTCAGTTCTCAGTAAAAACATCACGGCTTTTAGTTTACAAAACACATATGAGTTACCATTTCCATTGTCTCCCTCAGCCCACTCAACTGAGCTGCTTTCGTAGTGTTCATATTCCCGCTAGACCCCGTGAGGCATCTGTAGGTGACTGAGGTAGGTATTTTGGGCAGAAAATCAGTTTTCTTCAAAAGGCTGCTCATGCCGAAACTGTATGTAATCCATTCTCCTGATCTGCTGGTTGTTTATGAACATCTCCCCAATGCAAAGTATGTATTATCACCAATTGTTGTTACCTTTGGTCCTACACGACTCCGTTTGAATTTGATTTAGCTTTCTATCCCATAGTTCAAGGATAATGCTCGCAGATTGCTACATCAAAACCTTTACTTAGCGGATCTGCATTCTGAGTGGACAATTCTCGATTCACACCTTCTCTATATGAGTTCCCCGGGTATACTCTACAATTATTTCGAACAAACTCAATCCTGATTGATCTGAGCCAATCTTAGATTCAGCTTAATTGAATTGGGGTAGTTTCTTAATCAGTAGCCGATTTATTAGCTCTCGGGGCTTGTGAACGGATGAGAT